CCATAGAAACATTCTGAACAAACCAGAAATTTAAATATTTTTATATATTATGTGTGCTGCATGCTCAGTAGCTTCAGTCGTGACTGACTCTTTGCAACCCTGTGGACTGTAGCCCGCCATGAGATCTCTGTCCAAGAGATCCTCCAGGCAAGAATGCTGGAGTGGGTTGCCACACCCTCCTCCAGGGGATCTTCCCAAGCCAGGGATTGAACACTCGTCTCTTATATCTCCTGCATTGGCAGGTGGGTTCTTTACCACTAGCGCCACCTGGGAAGTCCCTTAAATATCATAAAGAACTAGAAAACAACATAAGACAAATTTTCAAAATGTTTCGGTGCATAATGCCAGAAACTGTAAAGGAAAATAGTGATGGACTTGACCACAGGACCATTTCAAACTTTTAAGGGGTTAAAAAAAAAAAGCTCCATAAATTGAAATGACCAAAAACAGCCACAAAACTGTGAAAAAATTTTGCAACATACGGCAGTTAAAGGGTTAAATCTCTCATCCTCTTATAAATCAGTTTGCTCTTGCAGGTCAATAAGATGCATTTCACACACCCTCGCTCCAAACAAGGAAGCCTGTGACCTCCCCACGGCTAATGCATGATCAATGCTCAGTCTGCATTGTACTCGACCTCATGCTTGAAACATGTCTTGCCCTTGGCTTCCAGGATAGTATACCTGGCTCTCTTCCACCTCACTCACTGCACCTTCTCAGTCGTCTTTTCAGTGCCTCCTCAGCTCCCTCACTTCAGGCCAAAGGAGGCTCCAGGACTGGGTCTGCGATCCTTCTCTTTTGTACCTATATGCTATTTAGTCACTCAGTTGTGTCCTACTCTTTGCGACCCCATGAACTGCAGACTACCAGGCTTCTCTGCCATGGGGATTCTCCAAGCAGGAATACTGGAATGGGTTTCCATGCCCCGCTCCAGGGGATCTTCCCAACCCAGGGATTGAAGCTGGTCTCCCACATTGCAGACGGATTCTTTACCATCTGAGCCACCAGGGAAGCCCAAGAATTCTGGGGTGGGTAGTCTATCGCTTCTCCAGGGGATCTTCCCAACCCAAGAATCAAACCAGGGCCTCCTGCATTGCAGGTGGATTCTTTATCAGCTGAGGTACCAGGAAAGCCCCTTGCATCTATACTCATTCCCTTCATGCTCTTATCCAGTTTCATAGCTTTATGCTGATGACCATGTATTTGTATCTCCAGTTCAGACCTGGGCCCTGAACTTCATCCTCATGTCCATTTCTACTTAGCTGTCTACTAGCATCTCACACTTGACCTGTCCACAGCCAGGGCCCACCTGGGCAGTCGAACCAAGCCCCACACTCGGCAAGGTCCCAGGCTTAGTTTAATGCTCTACTCTCAGCACTTTGAAATTCTTAATATTATTTTTTAGACAAAGGACATACATTTCATTTAGCTCTGGCTCCCACACATCATGTAGCCAGTCCCGTCCATAGACGAGCTCCTCTCCTCCCCTACATCAAACCCACTCTTCTCAATCCTCTGCTCTGCGGATGGCAGCAGTCCCATCCTTCTCTCTACTTGGGCCAAAACCTTTGGAGTCATTGTGATGGATTGAATGTTTGTGTCTCCCAAAATTCATACGTTGGAACCCCAACTCCCAGTGTGATGGTGTTTGGAGGTGGGATGTGACATGGGTTACATTAGGTCATGAAGGTGGGGCCCTCATGATGGGATTGGTAACCTTAAAGAAGAGGAAGAGACGCCAGGGCTCAGTCTCTCCGTGTGCACACAAACACGTCACATGAGCACACAGTGAGATGGTAGTCATCTCCAAGCCAAGGAGAGGGCCCTCGCCAAGAACTGTGTCTGCCAGCACCTTGATCTTGGACTTCCCAGTCTAAAGAAGTGTGAGAAATAAATGTGTGTTGTTTAAGCCACCCAGCCTATGGTATTTGGTTATGGCAGCTTAAAATGACTAAGACAGTAATCTTTGGCTCTCTCTCTCTCTCTCACATACACACACACACCACCTCATCCAATCTGCCAGCAAATCCTATTGGCTCTACCATTAACATGTACTCAGAATCTTTTCACTTCTCCCCACTTCCATCAAGACCCCCTAGTCCAAACCCCACCATCTCTTCCCTGGATCATCACAAGCATCTACCGCCTGATATGCCTGCTTCCATTCTGGCACCCTTCAGTAGCTGGAGTGATCTGGCTAAAATGAAATTCAGATTGTGTCATACCATCATTCAGAACCTTCCATGTCTCCCTGCTTTCCCCATTTCATTCTGAGGAAAAGCCCAGGCCTTAGGGTGCCCACAAGGTCCTGCGAGGTCTGGCTCTTGATCCCTCTGGTCCCACACTCCACTCTCTCCCTCCCTCACCCTGTCCCAGCCACACTGGCCTTCTCCCTGAGCCCTGAACAGGCCAGGCCTACCCCTAACTCAGGGACCCAGACATCCGTGTGACTCATTCTCTCGCCTCCTACAGGTCTTTCCTTTACTGCCGTCTCCCAGCGAGGCCTTCTTGACTGCCATATCCAAGTATCCCAACACTTCTCATCCCCACCCTGCTCACTTTTCTTCTCATTAGCACTTAGCACTCATACACGCACTAGATTTCACTTGATTATCTGTTTTTCCTTGGCTGTCTCTCCTTCACAAGAGCTTAAGTTCCATGGAGCAGGGATTTTGTTTTGTCAATTTCATTCACTGTTAGGTCCCTAAACAAAACAGTATCCAACAAGTGGTAGATGCTCAATTAATGCTTACTGAATAAAGGGACAGATGAATAGAAGAATGAGCTGAGGGCGTGACATGAATAGGCACTTGATAAACAGGCAAACAATTTGAAATGGCCAAAGAACACACACGAATATGCCCAATCTCATCAGTGATCAAAGAAATGTAAAATAAATCAGTTTTACCTACCAGGTTGGCAGGGGTTTAAGTGAGTGATAATGTCAGGTTGGCAAGGGTGAAGGGACAAGGCCTCTTGTATGTGACAAGTCAGCGCGACTTTCTGGAGGTTGATCTGGCCTGTGGGTCAAACCTGGAAATGTGCGTGCCCTCTGACCCAGGCAGTCCACTTCCAGAAACACCCCCAACACAAGTGCACACAGATGTAGGAACAGGGATGTTCCCTGAGTGAAGTTTATAAATAACCAAACACCAGAAACAACCTAAATGGCCCCTGACAGGATTAATAATTGATAATATAACTTAAAGACTACCCATACAACGGGCATAAAAGGAAGGGAAGAACACTAGAATGATCTATACAATAATATTAAGTGAGAAATCAAGTGACAGGACAGTATAACTAGTATGATAGTTTTTCCTTTTAAAATATGTTTCTAAGCACATAGAAACAAGTCTGGAAGGATATGATATATGGAACTAGTTAGCAGTGGTTAGCCTTGGCAAGAAAGAGATTTGGGGAAGAGCGTGAACTGCATGCTTTAGATACTTCTACGGGGACTTCCCTGGCAGTCCAGTGGCTAAGACTTTGCCTTCCAGTTCAGGGGATGTGGGTTTGATCCCTGGTCATGGGGAGCTAAGATCCCCATGCCTCACAGCCATAAAACAGAAAGAACACTGTAACAAATTCAATAACGACTTTAAAAATGGTCCACATAAAAAAAAATCTTAAAAATAATCTATCTACATTGTTAGATCAATAGGTAGACATAGGGAACATACTACCTTAATAGTTGGAAAAATGACTCTGCCTAAGGAGAAAACACATCCCTTGTCTCCCTAGTGCTGAAGGATGCAGAAATAGGACATTCTAAGCCCTCATTATCTGGCCCTGCCTCATCCCTGTTACCCCACCCACCTCCACCCCCACACCCCAGCACTCTGGGTCCCAAGCTCAGGAAACAATTTTCTATTCCTGGTTCCTCTCACAGCTCCACACCTGTCTCACAGCTCCGTTCACAGGCACAGAGGCCCAGGCAACCCCACCTAGTGACCTCCTCAGCCTGAATTCTGCTATCAGAGAGCCAGAAGGGGGAAGACAAGGACCCCAAGAGCACCCTTCACAGCCAGCCCTGCAGCCTCTAGCAGGAACCCCAGGTCTCTGCCCCAGGGACGGCTTGCAGGACCTATTGACTGTGGCCTGAGCAGGCTTGACCGCCCCTGGCTCCAGGGCCCCCTCTGTAGGCCCTGGACACAGCTGCTCCCAGGGTGCCAACATGGGCCCAGCAAAGCGGGGACTGAACAGAGGAAGAGGGGGGCTGGGGTTTCAGCTCCCATTAACATCGCCAGATTAAATCAATAGAATCACAGGTCTCATGCAATATTTGGGACATACTTATGCTGAAAAGTGAGCTGTTGTCTTTCTGAAGTTCACATTGAGCTGGACATCCTGTATTTTTTCTGGCAAGCCTAGCTCCCACTGCATCCCAGCTCTTGACCCCAAGCAGAAAGCCTCCACTGGGGCGCCCAGGAGCAACCGAGAAATGTCCTCTCTTGGGCCCAAAGCCGGGGGATTAAAAGTGAGCAGGGCTGTTCTTGGTGCCAGAAAGAGCGCCTCTGCCCTGGGGGTGTCCTGTAGACAACGGGGACCTTCTGGAGTAAGAGCCCCCACTCACAGAAGCACACACACCAGGGGAGTGAAGATGGCAGCTCCGGCAGGGAAAAGCCAGTGATAGCAATGGATGAGAAGCCTCAGAGGCAAAAGCTCCACCGCCAAAAGAACTTGGCAGGTGTGTACCACGAAGGATCCTTAACCAACTGCAGACAGCGATGTGTGGGAGCCACATGGGGGCCTCTCCGTGTCTTGGGGAAGAGGCCTGGTGAGCAGGGGGTGCTGCTGAGGTAGCCCGCCTCTTGGAGGTCTGGGAACTCCTCCCCAGGAGGCCCTGCAGGGGCCTAGGGGCTTCAAATCCCACACTGTGTGCCCCTCCATCGCTCTGACAGGGGCTCATCCACCCAGGGCTGGGGGACCTACTCTTAGAATCCTCCCACCCAGTGCAGAGACACAACAAGGGAGAGCCCAGCTCCATCTTCCCCTACCTGGGTCAGACAGCGCCGGGAGGCAAACAGACAGGCCTCTGGGGGCCGGAGGAGCGGCAGGGGGAGCGGCAGCCCGTCCGTCTCAGTCCCAGCATGCACTGTGGGGAGGAGCAGGGAAGTGAGTGCTGACCAAGACTGGGCCTCTGCAACCCAGGGGGGGTGCCCACCTCAGCATGGGACCCCCCCCGCCCACCGCCCCCGAGCAGATCCCGACCCTCTACCCCAGGGGGCTCAGCGCTGCCTCCCACTTCAGGGAGGGGCCTTCTGCCACCAGTCTCCCTGGTGTCTCCGGCTCCCTTGAATAGCCCCCCAGGCCTGGCATTCGAGGCCCTGTCCAAACCCCTCGCTTCTCATCATCTCACACTATCTCCCATAGGTCAGGCCCACCTCTGGTAAGTTTTGTTCACCACACACACACATATACACAGGCAGTTCTACCTCATTCTCTGTGAGGTTCCCTCTGCTACCCACCAAGCCTGTCCCCTGCCTTCTGGAAGCTTCACCTACATGTCTTCACCCCCAGCACCTCACCCCAGCATGGCTGGCCTCTGCCCCACCACTGCCCACGACACCCTCTGCCAGGACCCCCACTGTCCAGACCAGTCCTCCTGCCCCAGCTGCTGGGTCTCTGGCCGGCTGTCCTCTCCCTCCGGTAGGAGGCTCCTGACCCACACTCCCCTCATTTTCACCACTCCTCCTCACACACGGTCCTCAGGTGCCATGCCCCACCTTCCCCTCCTTCTCCTCCCTGGACCACCCGACTCACACCAGTGTTTCAGTCACCCTCTGTCTATGCTCCCCAGGGGATTCCATCATGCCCGGAGGAGAGTCGAGGCCCTGACCTGTCTCCTGCCGTCTCCTCCCTCCCTCAGCTCCAGTTGCAAGGCCCGCCCAGCTCCACACAGGCCTGGCTCCTCCTCAGCCAGGTTCAGCTCAAGGCACCTCCTCAGACAGCCTTCCCTGACCACCCTGCATAGGAACCCCTCCTTCCCCGAGTCACACTACCCTGGGTGACTGACATGTCATTTGGTGTTCCCTGTCTCAACAATCCCACGGCGAGCTTTATTTCCAGTCAGGTTAATTGAGGTATAATTTACTTGCAGTAAAATTTACCCTTTTTTAGATAACAAATTCTAGTGAGGATGTGGAGAAAAGGGAATCCTTGTGCACTGTTAGTGGGAATGGAAATTGGTGCAGTCACTATGGAAAACATTACGGAGGGTCCTCAAAAAATTAAAAATAGAATTACCATGTGATTCAGCAATTCCACTTCTGGGTATATAGCCAAAGGAAATGAAAACACTATCTCAAAAAGATAGATGCACTTCTGTGTTCACTGCAGCATTATTTACAGCAGGCAACATGTGGAAACAACATAAGTGTCCATCAATGAATGAATGAATAAAGAAGATATGAGATATATACACATATATCTATATAATAAAATTATTCAGTCATAAAAAATAAGGAAATCCATTTGTGACAACATGGATGGACCTTAAAGGCATTATGCTAAGTGAAATAACTCAAAGACAAATACTGTATTGCAGAATGTAAAAAAATAGAAATAAAAAACTAAACTCTTAGGAAAAGAGATCAGACTTATGGTTACCAGAGCCAGAGGGTGGGTGGAGAAGGAATTGCAGGAAGTTGGTCAAAAGGGCTTCCCAGGAGACTTAAGAGACTCTGGCTCGATCCCTGGGTTGGGAAGATCCCCTAGAGAAAATGGCAACCCACTCCAGTATTCTTGCCTGGAGAATCCCATGCACAGGGAAGCCTGGTGGGCTATAGTCCATGGGTCGCACAAAGTCAGACACGCATAAAGCAACTTAGCATGGCACAGCAGGGTCAAAATGTACAAACGTCCAGTTACAATTTAAGTATGTGCCAGGGACAAGCACAACACGATGACTATAGTTAACAGTCTGTTATACATGAAAGTTATGAAGAAAGTAGATCCTAAGGGTTCTTATTACAAGAAGAAAACCTTTTTTCTTCTTTCTTTTCTTTCTATATATCTCTATGAGATGATGGCTATTGGGTGGTAATCATTTCACAATATATGTAAATTAAACCATCATACCATACACCTTAAATGTATACAGTGATGTATATTGATTATTTCTAAATAAAACTGAAACAAACTTTACACTTTTTAGTGCACAGTTCTGAGCTTTGACAGCATGTAACCACTACTGCAATTAAGATAAAGAACAATTCTATTAACTGTCTGTATCTGAAAATCTCCATGAGTTGTCCCCTTTGTAGCCAACTCCCCCTATCCCTGCCTCTCATAACCACTGATCTGTTTTCTGTCTCTGTAGTTTTGCCTTTTCCAGAATCTCATACAAATGGAATCATCCATATGTAACCTTCTGAGTCTGGCTTTGTTCATTTATCAAATAATGCATTTGAGATTTACCTGTGTTGTTTCTTGTATCAGAATTTCATTCTTTTTTTTTTATTGCTGAGTAGTATTCAATTGTTTATCCATTCACCAGCTGAAGGACATTTGGATTTTTTCCAATTTGGGGTGATTATGAATAAAACCACTATAAATATTCACATACAAGTTTTTCATGAACATAAGTTGCTATTTCTCTTGGGAAAATACCTAGCAGTAGGATTCTTGGGTTATACAGTAAGCATATTTTTAACTTTATAAAAAATAGCCAGACTTTTTCCCAAAGTGACTGTACCATTTTTCCTTCCCACTGGCAACATAGGAGAGTTTCACTTACTCTGTACCCTCATCAGCACTTACTACTGTCAATTTTGTAAAAGTCAATGATAGAGATAAGCAATGGTATCTCATTTTGGGGGGGGAGGTGGCTATCAAATCCAAGCTTATTGAGGACATTTGTAGAATTGCTTTAACTCTCATTGTCATTTTGATTTGCATTTCCCTACTGACTCATGAAGATGAGTGATTTTTTTTTAAATGTACCTGACTTTTGTTTTAGTACCATCACTATCTGAAAGTACATCTTGATTTAATTATTTCTGTTTATTTTCCATTTCTCCCATCATATGTGAGAGGAGGGACCGTGAGAGCTGCTCCCCCAATATCTAGAACGGTACCTGGTAGTGGATAATGGTGATGATGTTGCACTTACAAAGTCCTGATCGTACGCCCAGCACTATTCTGAGTGTTCGACAGATACTAACTCATTTAATCTTCACAAGCGCCCTAAGAGAGACAGGTGCTATCCCCACTTTAAAGAGGAGAAAACAGAGAATAGACAGAAGTAACTAACCCAGAGCTAACAAGGCGCTGAGCAGAGCTTCACTCTCAGGTGGCTGGAGTCGTGATCAATACACTACATGGCCCATGGCAGCCACATTTGCTGAAGGAATGAAAATGTGGAAGAAGGACAACTTCAGTCCAGCATGCCATAGACTGAGTATCTGTGTCCCTTTCAAAATTCATAGCTGAACCCTAATCCCCAATGTGATGGTATCGGGAGGTGCAGCTTTGGGGAGGTGATTAGGTCTGAGAGTGCAGCCCTCATGAACAGGATTAGTGCCCTTACAGAAGAGACCCCCGAGAGCTCTCTCATCCCTTGTGCCATATGGGCACGCAGTGAGAAGAGGGCATCGATGAATCAGGAAGCCGGCCCTCACCAAACGCCAAATCTGCCAGCACCTTGATCTTGGACTTCCACCCTGCAGGCTGTAAGATGTAAACCACAGTTGTTTATAAGCCACCCAGTTTCTCAGGTATTTTGTTACATAGCCTAAACAAAGACACGGGCTTCTAGATGCTACCTCCTGATAGTTCCCCTCCAAAGCTGAATTCATTCTCACTCTCGATTCTACCTCTCCTCCTAAAAAATTTGTTTTATGTTGGTATTGCAAGCAACCAATAGGGACAAGCGGGGTGAGGTTGAGTCAAACCTGGAGCCTGGTGGTGAAGGGCCCAGGCCTGCCAGGGGGCTTATTCTTTTACAGGGACTCCTCCTCAAAGCTTTTCCCACCACTGCCTCCCACACACTCGGGGCCTCCCCAGCTGGAGAGAATGAACAGGAAGTCATGGCCTCGGCAGTTCAGAAACCCTTGCTCTGAGAACATCCCACAAAACCCTTTGTCCAGACTTCGCTTCTCACTGCTCACTGAATGTCTGACATATTTCCTCCATGCCCTCCCCCCAACATGTCCCATTTCCTCAGCCCCTTTACAGGTAGTTGAGGCCATGTGAGAAGTTCTAGCCAGTGGGCTGTGAACAAAAATGATGTGTCACCTCTGCCCCAATGCATTTAGGAGCCTGTGTGCATCTCTACCATTTTCCCTTCTTTGCCACTGTGGCCAAAGAAGGCCATGAGTTCCAGGGGGCAGCTACCACATAGTGGAACTTCAGCCTGGGTCCCTGTGTGACTAAATGGACCAGCTTCTGCCACCCTCTCCACTTCCCATGTTGGTCCTGTAGTGTGAATTCATATGGTAAAAGAAGAAGGGAGCCTTGTCACATTTAATCAGGAGTCCCCAACCTCTAGGATCTAATGCCTGGTGATCTGAGTTGGAGCTGATGTAATAACAACAGAAAGAGAGTGCACAGTAAATGTAATGTGCTTGGATCACCCCAGTAGAAAAGTTGTTTTCCTTGAAAGTGGTCCCTGGTGTCAAAAAGGCTGGGGACTATGGCATTAAATCACTGAGAGTTCAGAGAGAGCTTATTAGTGCAGCACTTCACTACCCTTCCTACATCCCCACCAGCCACATGGGGGCATATGGTTTAAGAACATGTTTGGATGACTTTCTGGGTGACAGAACTAAGCTCCATTTGGGAGCCCCAAAATAACTAGGATTCCCGTGAGAGATGGAATGACTTCAGTTCCCAAGTTGAAGGGTTCCCTGCATTTACAAGGGAAATGGGGGCAGTTCCAGGCCCTTCCACAGGATCCACTAGCAGGACAGTCCCCACCTGGAGAAGGGAGGGGGGAGCTGAGTCAGCTGGGAGCATCTTTATGACAGTGAGGGCCTTGGCCCACATTTGAGGACTTGAACTTGACTTTAGAACAAAGGCTGATACATCTTGAGTTTTATCCCTGACTCAGGCCTGGGACAAGCTCCCAGAAAGGCCC